ACAGTTTCGCGGATGGGGGTCGCACCACTTCCAGGATATGTGTTGGGGGAGAAGGGAAAATCGTATTCAACGTGGGTACGTACTTGTAGACGGGGATGATGAGGATGAGGGCGAGGAGGCGATGGCAAAGGGAGGAGAGGGGAGAGAGGTGACGTGGAGAAGGGAACGGCGAGGAGGGATAGCAAAACGAGAAGGACAGGGAGAAGAAAAAGGAGGGGGAGGACGGAGGAAGAGGAGGAGACGGGCGCGACAGAGGTCATAGGGAGAAGTGATAGTTGCGCGCGGGCCCGCCGCCCTCAGGGCGAGCAAAACTGCAAACGTGGCGGGGCGCAGCGCCCCGTTGATAGAGCGGCGCGCGCTGGGGAGGCTCCCGAGGCACGCGAGGAAGGGAAACGTGCTGGACATGAAGAGGAGGAGGAGGAGAGGAGGAGGAGGAGGAGGAGGAAGAAACTTAGACTTTGACTAGCCCCTGGGGGTCCATCGCCAGCCTAACCTTGCAAAGAAAGCTTGGATCCTGAGGGGCGAAACTTTTGGGACGCCAGGCTTACAGCCAAAGCTGAACCGTGCACTCGCCTGGGGGATGGCCCAGGGAGCCCCCCCCCCCACAGCAACCACTGCTGAACAACACCCCCAAGAGAAGGCGCCTTCCCAGCGAGGCGCGGGGGAGCGTCACCCAGGCGCCTCTCATGGCGCACTGCCCCGTAAAAGGGGCGACCCCCCCCCCCTGCAGGGCATTTGCACCCGAGGGGGGCCCCCTTGGGGGCCGAAAACGCGGTCGAGAGCTACTGGAACCCTTACCACGCCCACTGGGAAGGAGCCTTACGAGGAAGCTCGATCGCGGGGGTCGAATTCGGACGGGGGGGGGTCTCTTCGGCGGCAATCGGCCAGAAGCCTGCAACTCCTGCTGCCGATTGCTTCCAGACCAACCAAAAACTCTTTTCACAAGCGGAGGCGGCAAGGTCTCACTCACTTGGGTGCTCATTGTTCCGCTTCCTGCAGCCTCGCCCGTCGCCGGTGCTCTCAACTCCATGTGGCTCTGTCCAGGTCCGCAATACTTGTCACATACATGTCGTTAATCATCATGCGAATGTGCCCCCTAAAGAGCGGACCTGGCGGGGCTGCGCCCTCCTTGAACTTCGCTTTCACGTCGACCATCGCTCCGCCCAGCAGGGGCGAGACCTTCGGCCCGCGCGCGTGACCCGGCCCCACCGCGTAGAAGATCCGACCCTTGCCCGCGCCTTGCTTCTCCCCGTCCTTCTGCGGCTTGCCCGTGTTCACCTGCCAGCGGAAGACGGGGGCGAGGGCCGTGATCTCCCGCGGGTTGCACTTCGTCGCCGCATCCACAGCTCGGCGCGAAGCCCTTTGACGGCGGCCCGCCGCCCAGTTTGCCCGTCGTTGCCCGCCACTTTACCGACGCCGCAAACCTGAACGCGCTGCGGGCCCCTGCTCTCGCAGTCGACCTCTTCGCCGTGCTTTGCCTGCTCGCGCGTCTTCTTTGATTGGGCCTCGTGCGCTTTTCCTGCTGCCACCAGCGCCTCTGCGAGACCCAATCCTGCAGCTCGAACGTCTTCTTCGCGATGGCGGCCAGGTGGTCCTGTTGCTCGCGGGAATCCGCCAATGCGAGGCGGCCCATCGTCTTCGCCGTCTCGCGTGGTTCTTTGCCGCCAGCGTCCTTCTCCTTCTCGGCCTGCTTCCGAGCCGCCGGCGCGTCGGCGCCACTTTCCATGGGCGCGGCCATCCAGCTCGGCACCCCCATCGGCGGACATCTCGAGTTCGCCCTCTCACAGGGCGGCGGGGGCGGGCGACTCGCGGCAGGCGCTGAACCAGATGGCTACAGAGATCGTCGAAGTCTGCCCTTTCGACCTCGCAGATCTTGCACCCCAGGGGCTCTGGTGGGGCCAGGCCACCTTTGCCCCCTCTGAAGGCAATGACCTCGGACCAGCGAACAGGACAGATGGCGACCCGCGGCCGCTCTCGAACACAGGACCGCGCAGCATAGCACGCAACTGTTTGCGGGACTCAGAACACGACCAGCGTTTCGAACGCGATGCCCCGACCGAAGATGGTTTAGGAGGTCCCGTTTGGTCCTGAACTTCGCATCCCATCTCTGGCCCCCCACCCCCCGCTCGCATTTCCGCCCTCGGGAAATCTGAGGGGCGGGAGGTTCGAGAACTTCAAGAGGCCGCCGAAATTCAAAGGAAAAAATAGCCACGCGAACCTGGGTCGACCTAAACACCGAGAAGCCCATCTTGCAAAGTCGGGGGCCGCCTCGGGGCGCACCAACCTGCAGGGGCACTCCAAGAGCCCGCCCACGACGGAGGCCTCCTCGCCTAAGCCCCCCACGCCATTTGGAAGTCCCCCTTGGTCCTGCAGGCCCAAGGGAAACATGCCATGGCAATGTGTCCGCCAACGCCGGTCGGAATCAATCGAATTGCCCAGCAAACTGCCAAACAGCGCACGCAACATATGTTGATTGTGTTCGGGCGCGCGGGCAATCTGCCGACGCCAGCCACGCCGCCAGACAAGTAGTTCTTTTTGTCACTAGGCACGCGCTTCCAGTGGGCCGGCGCCGTCGCATTGGGCCACGTCTCTGCGCGATCGCCCTCCTGCGAAGTGCCGCGGCCCTGGGGCGGAGCGCGACGCAGGCGCGAGAGGTGAGAATCCAGCTCCTGACACCGCTGAGATGCGATCGCCCTCGCCTCTAGACCGCTGAGCAATGCGTCCTGGACCGGCCCGAATAAAATCACTCTCGTCCACTTCCACAGGCAGTTGAGAGACCAGAAGCTCCCCGCGAAGCACAGGCCCGCAGACGCTGCTTCCATGCGTTTCAAGACCATCGGGCCCGCGACACCAGACAGCGAGATGCGTGGCCACCAGTGCCTGGCGCACTCCCGATTTCCCCGCGAAGAACTTGAGGCGCGTTCTCGAAGCCAGCGCCCCACCCTCGGACTGCCCGCGCACGAGACGTTGAAGAGAGCGACCTGTTTGCTCCGGTTGGCCCCGAGCCCGCCCCCCGCCCCCCCCCCCACCTCGAACAGCTGGTCAAAATCCTTCATTCACTGCAAAGACTCCGAGATCCCCTGTCCGAGACACCACCGCGAAATTCCAAATGTCATCTGCGCATCTGAGGAGGCGCAGGTTGGCTTTCACGTCTTGTCGCCCTGCAATCGCGGGGCGGGCGGCGTCGTGAGCCTCGCAGTATTTCCAAGAAAAGATCGGCCTGCAAAACATCCCTCGGGACATTGTGACCATGAACGGGTCACCCATGGCACCTCCTTCCCCGGGGCGATGCCAGCGAGGGCCCCCCCTTGAGCAGGGGGCAGACAGATCCGAGACCCCCAATGGCGTTGTAGGGCTAGATAACAAGAAAAACATCTAAGTCGTTCTCCACATGTAGTTCGACTGTCGCATCAAGCTCAGAACTTCCCTGACGCAAAGGCATTGCTCATGTCTTTCAACCTCGCAGAACAGGTGCGGTTCGAATGCTGAAGTCGACCGACCACGATCTGCGCCGCCATTATGGCTCCTTCTTGTCTGCGATGCTCGATGAAACCGTAAACGCTCGCGTCCAGCGGCGCTCTCATGATATCTGAGTACTAGCGCTTGCCGATCGGGCCAAATATGCGAAAACCCGTTTTCCTTTGACTCCTGGAGCTCCACTATGACGCAGTCCGACTGCTGAACTGCGCTGCCAGTGGCGCGGGGTGCGAGTCGCTTTTCGGAGAATGCGAATTCCCATTGGCATAGCCTCTTCGAAGACCGACGTGCCAAGAATTTCCGCGCCAGCACCAAGCCCCCACCGCCGTCGAACGACATGTTTATCTGGGTGAAGGCAGACATGCCACAGCTCGACTGGCGGGCAGCGCTCTGGCGCAGACCTGCGACGTCCAGCCTTCTGCGCCGCCCACGATGCACGTTTGATGTCATTCCTAGCTCGCTCCTCCATCAAAGGTCAGGTCGGGTAGTGGTTCCGCGGACACCTCCATCCTCGGTGCCTCCACCTCCTGCGCAGACATCCCGCCATGATTGCCGTGCTGCTGTCAGGCCCCCAGCCAGTCGGCTCGGGTTGGTTGCGCTGCTCTGGCTGCCCTGCCGCCCCGCACCTTGGGCCCGAATCTGCAGTGGCCGGCTTCCCTTGACAGCCGCGTCGCCATCGCCAGCTTCCATGACTTCCAAGCCTGCAGTATCTCCTCCTTCATGATGCGCTTGCAATCAGCACGCTCGCGCCGTCGCTGTTGGAATAATACTGTTCTGGGCACCTCCTTCAACTGCTCCTCGATCTCCACCAGTGCCCCTCCGAGACTGCGAGGTCGCCGCGTCGTAGTCCATCTCGGGGTTCAGCGCGCTGGCGGAGTAGCTCATGTCGCCTCTCAGCATCGCCTCGATACTCTTCCTGGTGGCCAAGGCGAAAGAGGGCCCGACCTACCTCCGTAAAGACACGGTTCATGTAATCGCGGAGGCCGCTGGGGTCGCCCCTGCGAAGTAGTTCCGCCCGGCCAGGATCCCCGCGACTCAGTCGCCAGCTCCCGCTGCGCTGCCGCTCGGATGAAGCCGACCCCGCCGATCGCGCCCGAATGCAAGATGGGGCAGCAGCGCGTCGGCAGGGAGCTGAGAACCTCGCCCAGCCAATGGCCCAAGATTCGCGCCGTCTCAAGGCAGCGCGGCACTTGAACGGAATTGCGCGGGTTGGGAGGGAAGCAAAGCACCGCTGGGCAGCAGTCCCGACAATCTCGCTTGATCCTGACCGCGAGTGCCCGACCTCCTGCGCCGAGCGGGCTTGGCCAGACTCGCAGCGTGTCGTTCGGCTGGTAGTTGCGACGGAGTATCGCCGCGCAACCAGTGCTGCTGTTAGCATAGCGCCCTGCGCTGAATTTGCTCTTTATGACCCATTGCCACCGAACCCGACGCTGCAGTGCGTCCGCGGTCTTCCCGTCGCGCGCTCGAGCGCCTCCGAGTGGGATAAAGTCGATCGATCTGCACGACAAATCAACTTCTTTCTAGCGACCCCCTCGCGCGCCATGCGGTGTCCACCCACGTATCTTCGCTATGTTCGGCCACGTCTCAAAAGAGCCGCTGGGCGAAGGGGGGGGGGGGGGGGCCTGCTGCCGCGCAAATGCCTGGCCCAAGGCCAAACGAATCGCCCATGCAACAGCGGCGGCTGGAGGAGGAGGTGGAGGAGGAGGACGAGCAGGAGGAGGAGAAAAAGGAGGAGGAGGAGGAGGGGGAGAAGGGGAAGGGAGGAGTTGGAGGGCGAGGAGGAGTTGGAGGAGGAGGAGGAGTTGGAGTTGGAGTTGCAGGAGGAGGAGGAGGAGTAGGAGGAGGAGGAGGAGTCTTGGACTTGCAATTTCAGGCACAACGCGCGGACGCTGGCGCATGGCGCTGCACTTCCGCCTTCATGACACGGGCCTCCCGCTGCGCGGAGGGGCAGGGAACCCGCCGCGGACGCGCGCGACCGCCCGCGCGCGCGACCGCTGCCCCTCCAGTCCGCGAGATTGGCCCCTCGATGCGATGGCTCGCGCAATGCGTGCTCTTAGGTCGGGCATGCCCTCCTACTGGCGGATGTTGGAAGAAAAATACAAGAATAGTCGAGACATGCAAAAAATGATGATCGAAAACATCGCCCCAGAATGTTCGACTATAGTTGAACGCTTCTCCCGTAGAAAAGACATGCCCGACCCAGCGCGCGCCCTTCTTTCGCCCCCGAGAGAGGCGCGAAAAAAAAACGCCGCCGCGCTGCCGCCTGGCGCGCGGCGCGGCGCGGCAGGTCGCCGAGGGGGGCAGCGCCGCCCAGCGCGCGGCAGCCTCGGCAGGGGCGGCGGGCAGGTCGTCGACGCCGCGCTTGGCGTCTGCCGCGCGGGGCGCGGGCGCGCGAGCAGGCTCTCGACGTCGGCGTTGGCTCGCAGACGGCGGGGGCGGAGAGCGCGAGGGCCTATGGCGCCCCCAGGGCCCCGGGCCAGGCAGAAGCTTTAGCGCCCCGCCCCCACCGCAGACGAAAACGCCAACCCAAGCATCCCGAGCTCGGCGGGCATCGCAGTTGTCTTGCCGAGGAGGGGGCGGAGGAAAGAGGAGGGGGGCGCGACCACAGAGCTTCGCGCGACTCGGCCTCAACAGCTGCGCGAATCACGAGATCGCCGGGCGAACCAGGCGCCCCGCGCGAGCCGACCTGCGATGGGCGATAGGTGAAGTATATTTCGCCCAACGCTCATTTGCCGCGGGGGGGCGCAACGCCGCGCATCTGCGAGAGGGTCGCTGGATCCGCGAGGTCGCCCTCAGAACGAGAGGCCTCCTTCTCAAGATGCGCGGCGGTGGCGAGCGAAGGAGTGGGCCGACAGGCCTGTGAGGCGCGCGTGCTTGACGGGGGGTCATCGAGGTCGCGATTGGCGCCCGCGGTGCGAAACATTTTCTGGTCAGCGCTGCAAGGCCCCGCGCGATCGACGAGGCCGTCGTCGACCGAACGCGCAGCGCAGCAAATTGGGCGAGCTTACCAGCGCGAAATGCAAGCGAAGAGCTGAATCGAAGATCGAAGATTCTGTATAATATCAGCGAGGCGCAGGGGGGGTTCAACGGCGAAGCACTCGGCGGTGGCAGAGGCCCAGCACCGCAGCACGACTGTTAAGGCTGCTGTTGGGTCACATAAGCTTTGGGGATCTGGCACCGCAGCACGCGCGCGCACCAGCCCTAGTTGAATCGGCGGTCCATCAACGACTGGAGGCTGATGCACGAGGCATCAATCGATTGGTAGATGCGCATCAGCTCGCGCTTGCAGGGTCGCACCATCACGACAGCGACCGCGATGGAGATCAGGTTCCTGAATAAGACCAGCGAGGTCCAAAATGACCACCTTTGCATGCGCACTGTCCTTCCGAGGCCCAGGTTCAGGAAAAACGCCAAAACCTTCGAAACGGCCATATCTTGAACGAGCAATCTGGAGGCCTCCAAGAATTCGCCGGCGCGGAGATGACCGACGGCATCGGGGATGATTGCAGGGCAGAGGCTACGTGACATGAACTCAGTTTCATCCTACAGCTTGGCGCGCACTTGTGCGCCATTGACCACCTCCCTTAGATTGCCGTGCATGTCTTGAGGTGCCATGGGCACTTGGGGCCCATTTGCCCGTCGGGGGCGCGTTCGTCGCAGCCGCGCTCTAGCGCTCGGCGACGCCTCTCGCAAGCCGCCAATGCGGAGCCAGCGTGCGCGGCGCAACATGAGGCGCCATTGCGTCAAGGCCGAGGCAAGAGGACCAGTGGCCCACGCTGGCGTCGACGCGCCGGGCGCGCAGCCCCCGGGCGCGACGCGTGACTCGACAATTGACGCGGCTACAAATGGAAGGGAAGGAGGGAAGAGACCAGAGCAAGCCAATCATGCGCCAACGACGCTGCAATGCGCCCTCCCGCCCCGTCCCAAATCCCCTCTTCACCAGGGCCCGCGCGCCGTCTGCTTCATTGCATGCAGCGCCCCCGTGAAAGACGATCCTCCTCTGGGCCTGCCACTCGTGCGAGAGCGACGCGGCGTTGCGCGGAAACTGACTTGCACCCTTCCAGCGACTTATCCTGCACGCGAGCAAGCAAGGTTGCACAGGTCAACGAGATGCCCACCGAGAGCCCTGCCCTGGAAAAAAGACGCCCCCGCCCGCCCGCCCATGCCACTGTCGCACAACATTGCGCTTCATGAGCTGCTTTCCTTGCGCGCAGCGGTTTCAGATCTCGAGCTTGCAGCGCGCCGCTGGGCGAACTGCCCAGCGAGAGGCGCGCATTGAAAATGTGCCGCGCTCCATCTTTGTGGCCGCTGTAAACTTTTAAAACGAATTTCCGCGGCGTTCAGGCGACGGCCCCACGTGGGGAAGGTGCCGATCTCCATCCCTGTTGCTAATCACTCCCGGTCTCCATCCCTGTTGCTAGGGCCCCCGTGACCAACTGGGGCCCAGAGCTCCAAAAGGCAACGCGCAGCCCTACGCGGGGCCCCCAAGAAACGCCACGCACCTGAGAGACGTTTTTGACGAAAGGCATGGCAGACTGCGGACAGGGCATGCAGTCGATCAAAGCGTCAAGACCTTTATCCTGCGCACACGTGCCACCTTCAGGAGCCGTTCTGACGACTCCGTCCAGGCGCTTGACGAACTCGGGTGCCTGGAGGACTGCGAGCTGCACATCGAAGTCGCCCGCGATTGCCCATGGGAGCCTGGTGGCTTGCAACGGTCCTCCTATCCTACCGACTCTGGCCTCGTTCACGTTTTATCGCGCCGAGGGGCGGGCGGCCGTAGATGAACACAATAATCGTGATGTGCCCTGTGAAGTTGATGGCCATCGGGAGGAAGCCATCCAACGCCGTCTGGCAGATCTCCGAGAGCTGGGATTGAGTGGCACGGGCCTCGGGTAGAATCTGGGTTTACACATCTTTTTTTTCCCATGAACACTTCGCTACCTTCATGTTACCTGTGCTGCCGCCCAGCTGTGACAACTTTTCCAGTACTGTGAGCAGGACTGTGGTGGTGCAGTATGGAATGCGTATGTCTGGCGTGGCTGTCGCATGACTGCTCTCTGCTTCTCATTCGTGAACGTGGGTTCCCTACGGGCCTCAAAACTGATACTGCGAATTCTTGGACACATACTTCCAAACCTTGTCCGGAAACTCCGTAACGCTCGCCACAATCATCTGGGTCTCTCCACCGTCCTCAGTCAATTGATGCGGGGCCTGAGGAACACCCATCTCCGTTTGACACATGGTCTTGTTCTCAGTAGGCGCTGCCGCCGCAAGCTCCGAACCCTTGCCCTTCGCTTCGGCCGCCGCGTGCTGAGCCTGGAACTTTGCGGCCGACAACTTCTGGGCCTCCTGCTGGATGCACTCCTTGCGCTGTTCCTCATTCTCCTGCTGCGTCTTAGTGGGTCCACCTCCGTTTTGGCAGCTACTGCAGCATCCTCAGAAACAGCTCCATCAACTTCAGGGCCTTGCGACGTAGGGACAACATCACCGTTATCCGACTTGCGCTTCTTGGCCATCCTCGCCGTGATCTCCTTCTGGCGAGCCTTGGCCTGCTCAAGCCAGGACGTGTTCTCGTCACTCTTGGTGGCCAGGTCCGTGCGCGCGACCGTGAGGTCACTGTGGAGCTTCTCAAATTTCTTCCGCTCGCTTTCGGTGCAGTCCATGTCCGCCAGGTTGTCGAAGAACCTCTGGTCCCAAGCGATCGTGAACAAAGGGCCGTCGCCCTTGACGGAGCTGTCGTCCTGGGAATTCATCGCCTGCACGCCCTCTGCCACTGCCAGGGCCTGCGCCGCGTTGGGCTAGACCTCCTTGGCCTCCGCGAGCTTCACTGCCGCTGTCTGCTCCTTCTTCTCCGCCGCCGCCAAGCTTGAGCGAAGCCGAAAGACCGATTCAACAGCCTGCTCATGTAAGTGACTCGCATTCAGGCGTGCACCGCCAGCCATTCTCAAAGACTCCACTGGCCACTGTCGGGCTGCCATGTTCGTCATGTTCTCCTTCTCCAGGCGCTGCAACTGCTGCTTCAGCTTGCTCTGCAAGTCCTGGCCCTCCGTGGCCAGAACGGCCTTCAGGAGGAGGTTGGAAACTTCATCTCCCTGGCGTGCACCTTTGCCCGTCCAGCGCATTGTGCTGCCGGTGCCCGCAGGGGAGTTGCTGCGGCTGCGACTGCTGCTGGTCTTCAGGATGCTCTGCAGCTGCTGCTCCCCGTCGTCCAGGCAGTCCTGAAACTCATGCTCGCTGGTGTTGGCCTCCTGGCTGAAAGACACCTTGGGACGGATAGGCCGATACAGCACAACTTTGCCATTGCAACTCTGACACGCGAGCCTGTTCATGAGCAGAGTCGAATTCCATTCACACCGACTGCCTCCACACCTGCTCCAAAGGGGCTTCCTTGCCGCAGGAGCCATGGCGGAGATCTGTTTCGAATACCTGTTTCTGTCTTGGTCGGGGTTCCGACGGTGTGGCAAGCCGTCAGGGACCAAGTCCCTCAAGAACTACGTGAAAGTGCAGATGTCCTGGGCGACAGCAATATGCTCGAGCCAAAGTTGCTTGAGGGGAAGCAGGGAGGCAGAGGAGCAGGACGAGACGAAGGGAGTGCGGAGGAGGCAGGATGGTTGGAGGCCTTCTAGATGGGGTCCGAGCGAGTAGATGGTGTCGAAGGATCGTGCCGCATCGCCAACACATCGCCGATGCATCGGGCGACACCGGCGTGGGAAAGCACGGTCGCCCCATCGAGCCGCATCGTCGATGCATCGGCGATGCGGCGCCATCCTCCGACCCCATCCGCTCGGACCCCATCCAGGAGACCCAGAAAGGCGCGGAGGATGAGGCCGAGGATGAAGCAGGGACGACGACGGGACGACGACAGGATGAAGCAGCGACGACGACGGGTAAGAGTGACCTTTGGTGCGCGGCTTTTTGGGGGGCCGCGGGGGGACCAAACCTGGGCGCGCAAGCAGCTGCCGCTGCTTCGTTCTCAGCCATCTGGGGACCCATCTGTGCCCGCACCAGAGGTCACTCCGGCGAGAGGTCACTCTTACGTCTAGTCGATCCTGGACCCGTTCTGCATCTCCTGAACCGCTCCCTGAGTCACTCTTGCGTCTGGTCGAAAGAAGGAGGAGGGGCCGCAAGGCGAGGCGGGCCGGCGCTGCTTTCCAGCAGTTGGCCGCCGCCGTCGGCACGCCCGCCGCCGCGGCGGGCGGTGCCTGCCCCTCCGGGGCTTCTGCGCCAGGGCGGAGCACGGCCAGGACCCCTCCTCCTCCCCCTCCTCCTCCTCCTCCTCCTCCTCCTCCTCCTCCTCCTCCTCGTCCTCCTCCTCCTCCTCCTCCCTCCTCCCTCCTCCCTCCTCCCTCCTCCCTCCTCCCTCGTCCTCCTGCCAGGGGCACCTGGGGATCCCGACTGGGACGTCTTCCTCACCAACACCGGCATCCCGCTCAGTCCTCTCCCCGCGCAGTCCCCTTATTTGGCCATCGTTCAGACGTCCATTCCCTGTGTTTCTCGGTTTCGTGCGTGGTTTTTTCACCAAATGATCAAGGATGCTCCTCGATGGTCCTCGCCGAAAGAAAAATGCACACGTCCGAACGATGCCAATCCTGGGGATCCTGATTGGGACGTCTTCCTCACCAGCACCGGCATCCCGCTCAGTCCTCTCCCCGCGCAGTCCCCTTATCGCTCCTCACTGTTGGCGATAACCTGCCACATCACGTCGGGGGCAGCTTGGCACCTGGGGATCCCGATTGGGACGTCTTCCTCACCAGCACCGGCATCCCGCTCACTCCTCTCCCCGCGCAGTTCCTTTATCGCTCCTCACTCTTGGCGATAACCTGCCACATCACGTAGGGGGCAGATTGGCACCTGGGGATCCCGATTGGGACGTCTTCCTCACCAGCACCGGCATCCCGCTCACTCCTCTCCCCGCGCAGTCCCGTTATCGCTCCTCACTGTTGGCGATAACCTGCCACATCACGTAGGGGGCAGATTGGCACCTGGGGATCCCGATTGGGACGTCTTCCTCACCAGCACCGGCATCCCGCTCAGTCCTCTCCCCGCGCAGTCCCCTTATCGCTCCTCATTGTTGGCGATAACCTGCCACATCACGTAGGGGGCAGCTTGGCACCTGGGGATCCCGATTGGGACGTCTTCCTAACCAGCACTGGCATCCCGCTCAGTCCTCTCCCCGCGCAGTCCCCTTATCGCTCCTCACTGTTGGCGATAACCTGCCACATCACATAGGGGGCAGCTTGGCACCGGGGGATCCCGATTGGGGCGTCTCCCTCACCAGCACTGGCATCCCGCTCAGTCGTCTCCCCGCGCAGTCCCCTTATCGCTCCTCACTGTTGGCGATAACCTGCCACATCACGTAGGGGGCAGCTTGGCGCCTGGGGATGCCGATTGGGACGTCTTCCTCACCAGCACCGGCATCCCGCTCAGTCCTCTCCCCGCGCAGTCCCCTTATCGCCCCTCACTGTTGGCGATAACCTGCCACATCACGTAGGGGGCAGCTTGGCACATGGTAGTCCCGATTGGGACGTCTTCCTCACCAGCACCGGCATCCCGCTCAGTCCCCCCCCCGCGCAGTCCCCTTATCCTTCCTCACTGTTGGCGATAACCCGCCGCATCACGCAGGGGGCAGCTTGGCGCCAGGAGATCCCGATTGGGGCGTCTTCCTCACCAGCGCCGGCATCTCGCTCAATCCTCTCCCCGCGCAGTCCCCTTATCGCTCCTCACTGTTGGCGATAACCTGCCGCATCACGTAGGGGGCAGCTTAACCTGGGGATCCCGATTGGGGCGTCTCCCTCACCAGCACCGGCATCCCGCTCAGTCCTCTCCCCGCGCAGTCCCCTTATCGCTCCTCACTGTTGGCGATAACCTGCCACATCACGTAGGGGGCAGCTTGGGGGGATCCCGATTGGGATCACCAGCACCGCATCCCGCTCACTTATCGCTCCTCACTGTTGGCGATAACCTGCCACTCGGGGGGAGCTGGGCACCTGGGGATCCCGATTGGGACGTCTCCCTCACCAGCACCGGCATCCCGCTCAGTCCTCTCCCCGCGCAGTGCCCTTATCGCTCCTCGCTGTTGGCGATAACCTGCCACATCACGTAGGGGGCAGCTTGACACCTGGGGATCCCGAGTGGGACGTCTTCCTCACCAGCACCGGCATCCCGCTCAGTCCTCTCCCCGCGCAGCCCCCTTATCGCTCCTTACTGTTAGCGATAACCTGCCACATCACGTAGGGGGCAGCTTGGCGCCTGGGGATCCCGATTGGGACGTCTTCCTCACCAGCACCGGCATCTCGCTCAGTCCTCTCCCCGCGCAGTCTCCTTTATCGCTCCTCACTGTTGGCGATAACCTGCCGCATCACGTAGGGGGCAGCTTGGCACCTGGGGATCCCGATTGGGACGTCTTCCTCACCAGCACCGGCATCCCGCTCAGTCCTCTCCCCGCGCAGTCCCCTTATCGCTCCTCACTCTTGGCGATAACCTGCCACATCACGTAGGGGGCAGCTTGGCACCTGGGGATCCCGATTGGGACGTCTTCCTCGCCAGCACCGGCATCCCGCTCAGTCCTCTCCCCGCGCAGCCCCCATATCGCTCCTCACTGTTGGCGATAGACTGCCACATCACGTAATGGGCAGCTTGGCACCTGGGGATCCCAATTGGGGCGTCTTCCTCACCAGCACCGGCATCCCGCTCAGTCCTCTCCCCGCGCAGTCCTCTTATCGCTCCTCACTGTTGGCGATAACCTGCCACATCACGTAGGGGGCAGCTTGGCACCTGGGGATGCCGATTGGGACGTCTTCCTCACCAGCACCGGCGTCCCGTTCAGTCCTCTCCCCGCGCAGTCCCCTTATCGCTCCTTACTGTTAGTGATGACCTGCCACATCACGTAGGGGGCAGCTTGGCACCTGGGGATGCCGATTGGGACGTCTTCATCACCAGCACCGGCATCCCGCTCAGTCCTCTCCCCGCGCAGTCCGCTGATCGCTCCTCACTGTTGGTGATAACCTGCCACGTCGCGTAGGGGGCAGCTTGGCACCTGGGGGTCCCGATGAGGGCGTCTTCCTCGCCAGCACCGGCATCCCGCTCAGTCCTCTCCACGCGCAGTCTCCTTATCGCTCCTCACTGTTGGCGATAACCTGCCACATCACGTAGGGGGCAGCTTGGCACCTGGGGATCCCGATTGGGACGCCTTCCTCACCAGCACCGGCATCCCGCTCAGTCCTCTCCCCGCGCAGTCCCCTTATCGCTCCTCACTGTGGCGATAACCTGCCACGCCACGCAGGGGGCAGCTTGGCACCTGGGGATCCCGATTGGGACGTCTTCCTCACCAGCACCGGCATCCCGCTCAGTCCTCTCCCCGCGCAGTCCCCTTATCGCTCCTCACTGTTGGCGATAACCTGGCACATCACGTAGGGGGCAGCTTGGCGCCTGGGGATGCCGATTGGGACGTCTTCCTCACCAGCACCGGCATCCCGCTCAGTCCTCTCCCCGCGCAGTCCCCTTATCGCTCCTCACTGTTGGCGATAACCTGCACATCACGTAGGGGGCAGCTTGGCACCTGGGGATCCCGATTGGGACGTCTTCCTCACCAGCACCGGCATCCCGCTCAGTCCTCTCCCCGCGCAGTCCCCTTATCGCTCCTCACCGTTGGCGACAACCTGCCACATCACGTTGGTGGCAGCTCGGCACCTAGGGATGCCGATTGGGACGTCTTCCTCACCAGCACCGGCATCCCGCTCAGTCCTCTCCCCGCGCAGTCCCCTTATCGCTCCTCACTGTTGGCGATAACCTGCCGCATCACGTAGGGGGCAGCTTGGCACCTGGGGATGCCGATTGGGACGTCTTCCTCACCAGCACCGGCATCCCGCTCAGTCCTCTCCCCGCGCAGTCCCCTTATCGCTCCTCACTGTTGGCGATGACCTGCCACATCACGTAGGGGGCAGCTTGGCACCTGGGGGTGCCGATTGGGACGTCTTCCTCACCAGCACCGGCATCCCGCTCAGTCCTCTCCCCGCGCAGTCCCCTTATCGCTCCTCACTGTTGGCGATAACCTGCCATATCACGTAGGGGGCAGCTTGGCGCCTGGGGATCCCGATTGGGACGTCTTCCTCACCGGCACCAGCATCCAGCTCAGTCCTCTCCACGCGCAGTCCCCTTATCGCTCCTCACTGTTGGCGAAAACCTGCCACAGCACGTAGTGGGCAGCTTGGCGCCTGGGGATGCCGATTGGGACGTCTTCCTCACCAGCACCGGCACCCCGCTCAGTCCCCTCCCCGAGCAGTGCCCCTATCGCTCCTCACTGTTGGCGATAACCTGCCGCATCACGTAGGGGGCAGCTTGGCACCTGGGGATCCCGATTGGGGCGTCTTCCTCACCAGCACAGGCATCCCGCTCAGTCCTCTCCCCGCGCAGTCCCCTTATCGCTCCTCACCGTTGGCGACAACCTGCCACATCACGTTGGTGGCAGCTCGGCACCTAGTTAGGGATCCCGATTGGGACGTCTTCCTCACCAGCACCGGCATCCCGCTCAGTCCTCTCCCCGCGCAGTCCCCTTATCGCTCCTCACTGTTGGCGATGACCTGCCACATCACGCAGGGGGCAGCTTGGGCCTCTGACCGGAGCTCCTGGTCATCGGTTGTCTTCACGGACGGTTCTGGAATGGCCCCGCTGTGGCCTGAGCTTCGTTAGTTTGGGTGGTTTATGGTACAATTGGGAGACCACGGCATGCTAGTAGTTGAGCTCGTGTTGGCAGATCTCCAAGGGCTGGCAAACGAGGTGGATGCTTGGCACGGCGACCAGGCAAATGATCAGTCAACGTACGCTGACATTACGCGTGCGATTTGTCAGGTGCAGGGTGGTCGACGTCCTGCTGCGTACTGGTGCCATGCGCACATCAAGCTTGATGAATATGTTAAAAAGTCACGATGCCATGGGAGTATGTGTTGGGCAACATGTGGGAAGACCACCTCGCCGCATGTGGTGCTGAGTGCCACCCCTTTACCCACGCCCACGTCCGAATCGAAGCTCCAGGACGCGACAATGCAAGCCCGATTCTTCTCGGATGCGGGGACTTGTCTGATTTCCGGAGATGCTGAGTCGGGGAGGCCTGATAGGCTTAAAAAACGGATGAATGAGCTAACACTCGCGCCGTCTGTAGCAATATGTCCACACGCTGGTGTTGTCTGGAGCCCTGTGGTCCATCAGTGCAAGCGGTGCGTGGCCATTTCGCGGACCCCAGGGAATAGTTGCAACATGTTGTCTGGGTCTGCTACCCCCTCCGTATATCATCCCTCAGAGCAACAGGTTCTGAGGGCTCGGAGACACCTGACGTTGCAGCGAAACCCCATTTTGCAGGACTGAGGCTGTCCAGGTTGCGCTAGATGCCAACCTGGTCATCGATGGGCCTGCTGGGGTTCCTGGGGCTGCGCCGCAACATCCTGGGGAGTCTGTACCGCCAGAGTCTGATGATACCATCGAGCACGATGGCCATCGAGTTTAGTCTTGACGTGGGGCCATCGTCTGTACGCTGCGTGGCTCCTTCCAACTCGGGATTCGCCGAGTTGGGAACTGTAAGTTGACGGGCAAGACCCGCCAACATGAAAGCTGAAGAACAAAAGACCCGCTCGAATCAGCGATATGCTTTCACAACGATCAGGGCTGGAAGGCACCCTCAGACGGGAAAGCCACTCCATATGCCTACTGATAAAATGATGTTGTGACTGGCTTGTTGTCACGTCTGATGATCGGAATGTCCTGATTCACTGAATGCTAATGACGAGCCGGCCCGATGCTGGCCCCTGTTCCCGTTTTTTCTGGTTGCAAGACTGAGCTGGACGTGGGCACTCCTCCTCCTCCTCCTCCTCCTCCTCCTCCTCCTCCTCCTCCTCCAAGCCTATCCCCCAGAAGCTTCCGCGAGTTTTCCGAAAGTCCCCGGTGCGACCATCTGGAAAGCCGGGGGGGCATTGCCTCCTGCAAATCCCTGTTCTCGCAACAAGGGGACGCTCCTTCGAACTTGACGTTCTTCCTGTGCCGACCTTGCCACAGCCTCCCAAGGGGCCAGAGGGCTGCGTTTGCTTGCGTCGAATCCCAAGTGGTCCTTCCTGCTGCTGGCGGGAAACAACTCATCCAATTGTGCCCGCCTCTAGCTTCGGAACCGTGTTCACAAGGTGGGATCCTGGCGCACCGTGGGGGGTGCGTTTCGGGAGTTGTTCGACAGGAGGTTTTGTGGCGAAGGTGCTGGGACCCAGCCTGGAGAACCACGGAGGGGCAACACCGCGAGCCAAGCCAGGGCGAGACATGTGCCTGGCGGGTTGTCCTCAGGCGTCCGGCCTCAAGGAGGCCGAGTCGAGGTCCCTTGGCGAGAGGCTTCGGGAGCGGCAGCAATCGAACAGTCTGACGTCCGAAGACGGGTTGGTTTCCTGGGGGGGCGCTGTTGCTGGCCGCTGGCAGACCAGTCATCTCCTCCCAGGGTGACAAGAAGGTCCTCGTGGACGGGGGCGTTGGACTCATCCCATCCGCGGCGTGCGATCCTCCCTCCTCATCCTCCTCGTCCTCCTCGTCGTCCTCCTCCTCACCCCAGTACACTGTCCACCCACGGGGGAAACTCCACTTCCACCTCATCCTGCTCCTCCTCCTCCTCCTCCTCCTCCTCCTCGTCCTCCTCATCGTCCTCCTCCTTCCCCTCCTCTTCTTCCTCCTCCTCTTCCTCGGTGACTCGGCGGTGCGAACGAGATTGCGTCGAAGTGCCGCAGACGTTAGCGGGCTGGGAGGATGTAAACGAGGGCCTCTCCTCTTCCTGCTGCTGCTGCTGCTCCTCCTCCTCCTCCTGCTCCTGCTCCTGCTCCTCCTCCTCCTCCTCCTCCTCCTCCTCCTTCCCCTTCTCCCTTTGCCCCCTCCTCCCGTGTCGTGCTTCTGCTCGCGACCGAAAGAATCGGAAAGCGAGGTCGTGGCCGTGGGCGGGCCCTGGCTCTGAACCCTCCCCGCGCCGCGCGTCCGTGCGCGGCGACGACGCGGCCGCGGCCGCCGGCGCGGCGGCGCGCGCGGCGCGCCGAGGGCGGCGGCTGGGCGGGTCGGTTGCCGCCGCCTGCGCGGACGCCGCCGCCGCCTGGCCGTCCTGCCGGGCTGCCGGGTCACAGCACGCTGTCGGAAGTTCGGGTCGGGTCCTCCAAAGGTCGTCTGACCTCGGACGGTAGGGTTTTCTCCCACTGGCGCTTCGCGGGAAGGTTTTTTACGTAAAAATGGAGTGTCCCACATGGTGCACGGGGAGCACAGGACCAGCCCCCTAGATCGCAAGCCTGGCAGCCGTTTCTTCTGGAACTGTTGCACCATAGATTCAAGAACCGTGTTCGGGCCCCAGTGCTGGCTTCATGTTTGGTCTGGGCGGCCACGGTCCCAAGTAAAGAAATAAACTGATGTGCACACTAGCGCGCACAAAAGCGCGCTCTCACCCGTCTCCTTATAGCCGACCTCCTAGATACTCCTAGACCCGACCCTTCACCATTGCTGCTATTAGGATGCTTTGCGAGGGCCATTTCAATCCCTACGCTTCCTTGAATTACGCCCTGTGGCCTCCCATCGCCCCCCCAGGACCATCAAACATACCCAGCGCGGAACGAGTACCGCCAGGGAAAGGGTCGGGACTTCCAGGGACGCGCGCTGAAGAAATCATAGCGTCGGATGTCTGGGTTCGTGGAGGCCTGCAAAAGCTCAGAGAGGTCAGCTAACGTCCAGAACCCCTCCTCCAAGGACAAGACTTCGTGGTCATGGCCTGGCGTTCCCAAGCAATGGGCGCAAGGGCTGGTCCATCCGCCCCAGGCTTCCTTTTCGAATCCGTTTGGCGTCTGATCCCAATTTTTTGAAGACTCGGCAGCTGCACGATCTGGCACCTGGGCCTGGCGGCGTCATGGAGAGCAAACCCATCCACTTTGAAGGTCCGGGAACATTGCTGCGCATTGCCAATCGACGCCGCGGGCAAGAATAACTTGAGTTCATTCCGAGAAAATCTGCTTTCGGCCAATGCCAGCTGGGGCAGAGAGGATGCCCTGCCCAGCTCATCCGCGTAACAACGTGTCTGAGCCCATTCGGCCGCCAGATGGGCAGCCGAGTGAGCTCAGTGCCCAGGGGGGGCGGGGCGGCGCAAACTTGGCCCGGTCGGTAGCCGAACGGAATCGGCCCACGTCCACTCGGCAATGGAAGGGGCCCCGACGCCGCATGAGCTCGAAAGGTTACCCTGAAGTGCTGGGCGGGGCAGCTGTGGGAGCAGAGAAGAAGCTGCGCCGCCGCCGTGGCGAGGTGCCAGGGAGCGTCCTCCTGGTGGCGTGGTCCCGCTCGAGAGCCCTCCGGCACCCGGATCAGCAGGTGGGCGTCGCGTCAGAAGCTTCAGAAGCTCAAACCTGGCCCGGAAGGGGGGCTCTGCCACCGCGCGTCACGGGCGCGGGGGAGGCGCGCCGCGCCTTCGCCCCCCCGTGAGCTCCCCACCGTTGCCCTCCGGTCCGTGCTCGGCGTCCGTGGGGCATGCCGAGGCTCCGGAGGCCCGTTGCGGGCCCTGGGGCCATCCGAGGAGGACGACGGGATGAAGAGCCTGCCCTGGGGGCCCGGGGGCCCTCCCCCGCCATGCCAGGAGCAGTATACCAGACAACTGCCAGTGCCATGCGGAGCACTGGCCAGGGGAAGGCCAGGAGGCGGAGGGTGCCCGAGGCGAGCCCCGATCCTGCCGACCTGCCCTCCCCACGCGCCTCGGCCACGACCTTGTCGAGGAGGGCGCGGTCGAGGGGAGGTGCCTCTGCCTGCCCCTTGTCGGGAGGCCGGTGGCCAGACGCACTGCATCAACCATCCTGGGAGGGCGAGGAGGAGGAGGACGAAGATTCGGACACGCGCGAACGTGGGCTGGGGATCCGCAGATCTAGCGGGTCGGCACCAGCTCCGCGGTTCGGGGCAAGAGGCCATCAAGACGGCCCCGGAGGGCTCAAGAGGACCCCCAAGAGGGCCACCTAGAAGCAAAAACGCACTGTTTGTCCTCATGTCGTGGGAAGATGTTAGCGCTGTCGACTTCTCAGGCTTCCGACGCTCCAAGACCGCCACTGATGCCTCCAATGCGACCCCAAGACGGCCAAGAACCCCCCAAGAGGGCACCAGGACTGCCCATGAGTGCCCCAAGGAGGCCGAGAAGGCCCTCAAGACAGCCCCAAGACGGCCTATGTGGGCCCCAAGCCGGCCCAAGAGACTCCCAAGACGGCCCTTGGAGGCCCCAGGAGGGCACCAAGACGCCCTAAAGAGTCCCCAAGACGGTTCCCGAGGGCCCCAAACGGCCCAAGAGCGCCCGAAAACAGCCCAATGCGCCCCCAAGACACCCCAACATGTCGGCAATCAGCCCCGATATGTCCCGGACAGACCCCCCGAAGGCTCCCAGGAGAACCCGAACGCTCATGCCCGACACATTCCATGTGACCCAACGATTTGGACGCCCGAAATGGGCACGACAAAAGTGGGTACAATGCACAACAACAAATGTTGTCCCAAACCAACAGCGGCCGCTGTTGGGCAGGCGGCCTTCTGTCTCGGATGGACACAGGCCGCGGCGGCGTGGACAACGAGTCCACTTGAAAACAAAAATAAAGGAACTGCTGTTGGGCATTGTACCCATTCTTTCCGTACCCATCTCGCTCGTGCCGAAGAGAAGCGGGAGGAATCTGCGGTTCAGAGAAGGCTCCCCCCGCCCGAAACATGAGGCCAATGCCGCCTGATTTGAAGATGGATCGGGCCGAACCTGCACGGCAACGGGGCCCGTCCCTGATCCACGCGCCTTAAGCCATGTTTGCGCTTCCTCGGGAGAGGGATAACAAGGAGGGGGGTGGGGAGCCGACAGCAACGTTTGCGCCCCCTGGCAAAAGGGGGTCGAGGGCAGAGAAATTCTGGGGCCCACCTCTCTCTAGAGGAAGGGGGGAACCATGCGAACACAAGATTCCGGAGGTCCGCGCCGAGCTCTTGGATCGGCGCTGGACCCTCCTCCCGTGCCGCGCGGGGCGCGCCAGGGGCGGCACCGGAGGCGCCGCGACAGGGGGCACAACGCCGATCCAACGAATCCGCGAGGACCTCCTAAAGCTCACGCTTATGCAGATCAGAGTTTTATTGCTCGAACCCTTCGAACACACTTGCGGCGGTGGATGTCTGGGGTCCTGGGCGTCCAGTTGCGGCGAGCGCGTCCACTCCCGGCCCTGCACGCTGAAGTGTAGGGGCGAGCAGTTGGCCACCTTGAGGCGCGGCATGCCCGCCAACCTCTGAATGACGTTGAAGTGGCACACGACCGCGGCTTCCTCCGATGACGTGGAGGGGATGTCGTCGTCGTCCTCCTCCTCCGCCCCCTCCTCTGCAATCCTCATCACGACCACCACCACCACAATCATCATCATCATCATCATCATCATCATCACCATCATCACCTCACCATCGTCATGGGCATCATCATCATGGTTATTCGTGCCACCGCCATAAACACCATCGGCAGCACGATCATCACCGTCAGCATTTTCATCATCCTAACCATCATCACCATGGTCATCGTCACCATGGTCATCGTCATCGCCATCATACATATGACAATCATCATCACCATCGCCATCACCACCACCAGCATTACCGCCTCCCCCATCATATGTAGAGCCATCATCGTTGGCATGCTCCAAATCATCATCATTGTCACCGTCACCGTCACCGTCACCATCACAATCATCATAACCAGCGCCCTCAGCATGATCACCATCGTCATCATCATCATCAATATGCTCACCGTCACCATGGCCAACATCAACATCAGATTTACCATCATCACCATACTCATCATCACCACCAGCACCATCATCATCCTCATCAGCATGACTGCTTTCATCTTCCTCTCTATCAGATTCACCCTCACCCTCACCACCACCGCCATTACCACCATCACCATCATCATCACCACCATCATCAGCATCACCATCACCTTTGCCATCCGCATCTTCATCACCACCACAACCACCACAATCATGATCATTCTCATCAGCACCATCGCCGTCATCATTCTGCGACGCGCGCGCAGAGCGAGCGGTCAAGCGCCTCGGCGGCGCGGTGCCCAGCTCAGACGCACCATCATCGTCACCTTACCAGCCTGTAACATATCCCTATCCCTATGCTGGGCATCTCCTCATCACGATGCCAATCTTAGGGATTCCCTTAATTTTTGAAGGCGAATCCCCAAGATCGTCATCGCCTTTTGGCGTGCCAACCTTGGGGATAGGTATACGTTCGAGGCTGGCAATCATCAACATCAACATCACCACTGCCACCACCTCCAGCATCACCATCAAAGTCATCTCGGGGGGGGGGGAGTCTCGGCCACCGTGCAGTGTGCGTGCTGCTCGGCAGGAGCGCCCGCGAGCGAGCCCAGGCGCGCCTCTGGGCAGGCCGCCCCGCGGCGCGCCGCTGGGGGGGGGGGGCGAAGCAGGGGAGGACGAGGGCTGGCGAGGGACGAGGAGGATAGCGTCGGGGCGTTGACCCAAGGAACCCTAAATGAGGAACGAGGCACCATTTGATCCATGAGTTGAACTTCGGTTTCCCATCGGAGACCTAAGGACAACCTTAGCCAAGTTGAGAAACAACGAGGGAACACCGAGCCCCTCCCCAGCAGAAAGGGTTCCTTTTTCAGCGCCCCGACTGTAGGGGGAAGAGAGGGCTCCCGGAGAAGGTACAAATTTGAGGCAGGGTGTAGAGAGGGGGGGTGGCAAAGAAGGGGAGGACGAGGGATGGCGAGGGATGGGGAGGATAGGGGAAGAGAGGGCTCCCGGAGAAGGAGGCGAGCAAAGGGAGGAGGAGGGGGATGAAAGATGGGAGGCAGGGTGTGGAGAGGGGGGGTGGCGAAGATAGGGAGGACGAGGGATGGCGAGGGATGAGGATCATTGGGGGAAGAGCGGGCTCCTGGAGAAGGAGGCGAGCGAAGGGAGGAGGAGGGGGAGCAAAGATGGGAGGCGGAGGAGAAGGAGGAGGAGGAGGAGGAGGAGGAGGAGGGACGAAGACGCATGATTCTTGTGGTTTCCGCCCTCTCCCCCCCGCCCCGCCAGCGCAGCACTCTATTGACGGTCGCCCTGAGGGGGGCCATGCTTGAGGAAGTGGGGCTGATGCCCAGAGGAGCACCGCCAGATCTTGTTCGGTAGACGCTACTGCTACTCGATAAGTCCCTAACGTTGAAGACGTAGCACCCGGTAAGTGCGGACAAGAGTGAGAGTGCGGGCGGGTGGGTCGCAGGGTGGGTCGCGGAGAGGGACGACGACAACAACAACGTAACGCAACAATCAGAATCCGCGCCGCGGAAACACACTTCAGCCACGGGGCAACGAATGACCGTTCTGCCCCTCGCTCTGATGTTGTAGAGTGTATGGGTCGTGTGTGGGTCGCGGGTTGGGTCGTGGGTGGGTCGCAGGTGGGTCGCGGGGCGGGTCGCAGGCGGATTGCGGGGTGGGTCGCTGGTGGGTCGCGGGATTTGTCGCATGGGTCGCGAAAGGGTCGCGGATGGCGATGGGTCGCGGGTGAGCCGCATGGTGGGTCGCGTGTGGGTCGTGGGTGGATCGCAGATGGGTCGCCGGTAGGTCGCGGGTGAGTCGCGGGTGAGTCGCGGGTGAGTCGCGGGTGAGTCGCGGGTGGGTCGGGGGCGGGTCGCGGGTGGGTCGCGGGTGGGTCGCTGGTGGGTCGCAATTGGGTTCGGGTGGGACCACGGCAAGAAAACAACAACGCAACGCAACAACGCAACAAGCAAAATCCGCGCTGCGAATCCCCACTTCAGCCACGCACCCAGGGACAATGAATGACAGTTCGGCCCCCTCACTCTGATCTAGTACGCTCGTCTCCGCTGCGCCTGCCTCCTGAAACGGAGGGGCAGTCCATGAAGCCCATCCAACGCCGCGATCAACCAGTGCCCTGGCGACGGCGACGATGGAGAAGCAAGGCACTGCAGGCGCGCGCGCGCGCGGGTTTGTTCCGCGGGCGCACTGCGATCGGGAGCCCCGAGAAACCACCAACGATGACAAAGAATTCCCGAACTCCCCAGAATCATGGAATCCAAATTGTTAGCCCCACCCCGCTCTGACGACGAGCCACCAGATGGGAAGTCCACCGTCCCCCACAGAAGAGAGGGAGAGAGGCGGAACGGGGCACGGTGCGAGCAAACTTTGCGTCACTATCTTAAGCGTCCCCGTCGTCCGAGGGGCAGGCTCCCCCGCCAGCCATCTGACAGGGCGGGACCATCCGAGGGCGACCGACGGCACGAAGAACAGCGGCCGCTCCCAGAAACGGGGGGGTGCTGCTCCTCTCTGCTGCTGCTCCTCCTGCCTCCATCTTCTCCGTATAACGAGCTCCGCCCTGTCGCACCCCGCGGCCGGTCGGAAGGGCGGGCTGGGCCGTCGCCTGAGACCCACCTACCACGTATGACCCTGAAGCTTTTAAGCTTGAGAATTCCCTCACAGACGGAGGGCGGGTCGCTTGCAGCATGTGGCTCTCGCATCGGCGCCATTCGCTTCAAGCATCTGTAAGAATTGCACGGCTTGAGGACGGGCGGTTTTCAAAATGAGGCCCTCGCTCTAGCGCCGCGCACACTCTTTTTGGAAATGCGCCAGAGTCTCACGGCTTGGGGACAGGTCGTTTAAACATGTAGCGCTCGTCTTAGCGCAGCATGCAAATTTTGTGAGAAGTGCAAAAGCTTCACAGATGGAGGGCGGCTCCTTTTCAATCTGTGGCTCTATTCCAAGCGCCGCGTACATTCGTGGTACAACTTTGCAAGAATTTTGCAGATTCGCATTGCTTACGTTCCAGGAACGGTGTTTTGGAGGGATGTGGGATTTTCAGGGCGCGCCAATCGTATTGATTCGCGGTGTTGAAGTCCTAGGAAATGCTTCTGTCACGATTCAGGTTCGTCGAGAGCGTTGAAGTACCAAGAACGGTGCTCTGGCACGGTTCTGGGTTTTCAAACGGTCGTTTGCCAACGAGGCGCTTCCCTCAGTGTAGGCGAATCCTCCCAGGAGCCTGTGGAAAAAGGAGCTTGAAGGAGGGTGTACTGTCACATCCTTGGTGACTCTTGGGGTTCCACTGCCACTGGTCTTGCTCCCGCCCTGGATCCTGAACCCTCGGAGTCCCGGAGGGGCCTCCAAGAGGCCCCGCAGGCGGGCCGGGGCCGAACACGTTCGGAAGCTTCCCACCCTTCGCCCCTCGCCCCTCGACGCTGCAAGGCAGCACCTGGCACTCCTCCATGTCTCAGTGCCGCCCCCACAGAGAAAGGAGCGGAGGGAAGAAACATGCTCTCTCCTCCCGGTGCCCTTTCCTCCATCTCTCCTCGCCGCTCCCCTCTCTCCACCCCATTTCTTTTTTTGTTGCTGTTCCTCGCCGCCCCTCTTCCTTCATTTTCTCTAGAGAGGTTCGGAGGGGCAAGAGAGATGCCGTCGACGGTCGGGCGGGCCGCGGCGTCCTCCTCGGGCCTTTCGGCGAGCCAAAAGCAGAAGTCCTCTTGCGCAGGGCGGGGCGGACAGGGAGCGCAGAGGGGGATGAGGGGGAGATCTCGGGGGCGTCCAAAAAGGGGGGCTGCCAAGATGCAGGAGGAGGGTTCGCAGATCATGACCCGAAGCACGTGCGTGGCCCAGGCGGGGGGGGGGCCAACGGACGTGTTGAAACAAAAAGAGGGGCCACGACATCCCGCAACCACGCCGCTCCCGAAATCTGTTGGACAAGGTATCGTGGGCACACCCACGCCGCTCCCGAAAGCTGTATGGTGACGCGGGCAACGCTTTTTGGTCGTAACGCCACTGGTCGCACAGCGCGAGCGGAGCCGACGCCTGGACGCTGCAGGGCAAATTGTGCACGAGCGGGCGGGGGGCAGAAGGGGACGGCCGCGGAGAACGAGGAAAGAAGGCGGTGCACTCGGATGCGGACGAACAGTTTTTCTGCATCTCTACACGACGTGTGCGCGTGTGTTTCCTGCCCGCATCGGCATAGTTGGGCGCAATCGGTGTGAGTGCGGCCCGCGCGCAATAGGTCGCGGCGTCGATGCCGCACTGCCTGCCCAAGAAAAAACTGCGTTTGTCCGCATGTCGGCGGCGAGCAGGGAGGGGGAATGACTGAAATGGTCCCGCTGGAACCAGCACCCAACTCGTTAATGTGGTGTTGTACGTATCTTATTTAATGAACACTGGCTTACATGTCTCGATGTTATGGCAATCGGTGTCGGGCAGTGGATGTGCGAGGCTGCTCGCACGATAATGGAAGACAGGGTTGTTCACTGCAGCGGGCCATATCGCTGTCTTGTCTCGCCCGGACGCACACCAAAAGCCCTGCGCCACTGACACTCAACTAGGGCTTGAGCAAGACTGGTTGTGGATGATACCGCTCTCCTGATATAGCGCATCTGTACTGTGATACGGATGGCAGTGCTTGAGCACGGCGAGTTTCTTAAGCCAAACTCTGCTGAAACAGAAACAAAGATGGAATCCAATACGCTGGGGAACGCGGAAATACCGTAGACTGGGCTGCTCCAGATCCAAAGCTTCCGTGAGGCCATGTGCCGCCCCTAGATAACATCTGCCGTGAGTAGGCTCTACGAAAGACGGCTCTGGGCAATGAGTTTCATACCCCACAAGGAAAAGTCGATGCTACAGTATCGAAGACTGCCGAAAGCTTCTCAATTCACAGAAAGCACGGAACGCGAAATTGGTCTCACAGCGCCCCGCGGGGCCTGCATCCCAAGATGGGCATCCTGCCCGCGGGGGTTACCTCGGGCAATTAGCGAGGGCCCCCAGAATAGCTTCATCATCGACGTCTGTTACGAGGGGTCCATGATCCAGCTTGTCGGCCCCCTCGGCCTTGCGTTTCCCGGCTCTGCTAAGTAGAGAATCGCCCGCCCATCTCCAGCGCTGCCCTGATCGAGAGAACTCCAGCAAGACTTTCGCTGCCCGGTCCAATGTAAAGCCATCCGCTGGCATGGCGTCGCTGCGATCACGGCGTGTCTGGGGGTCGGTAAGCTTTTCGTTGACGGATATCCAAGCGCGCGACGCTTGTCCTCTTGTCTCGTAGGCCCAGACCCGCAGACTCGCTATTCTCGACGGCGTCGTCGCCCGTGTTACCGTCTGTGACCTTAGCGCCAGGGCTGGTTGGGATTGCGCCATTCACGTCCTTCGTGAAGGTGCTGCCCGCCAGGCCGCGCTCCAGCTCGTAGATGAAAAATCGGGCGCAACAAATATCGCCGAGAGTCTCGGCCACCATCGAGATCTAAGCGCGCGTGCTGCTCCAGGCCAAGCTGGGAAGATTGCCAGAACTTCGCGAGATAAAGATGCCGTCTCGGAAGAACCGCGCCTGTGAAACACGCGGGCTAGAACAATGACGTCTCCGCAGTGAGACTCGCCAGCGAACGAGGCTGCCCAGGCAGCGTCGCCCCAGCCAACTACTGTAAATTCGTCGGTGGCGGGAGTGAATATGACGACGTCGGCGGTGTCGCTCATCGCGCGGATGGGCTCGTTGATCTCCTATAGTCGAAACCGTCGCCGTCGCCACTTCTCCAGGGGGCAGGACTGCTGAGCTCGCCAGCCGACCGTTCCGAGCCGGCCTCGTACGCATGACCGTCCTTTACCCGAAACTCCACCGCGACCGCGTCTGATCTTGAGTGGCTCAACGCTCGGGCTGTAATTGTCCCGGGCCAGATTGTTGACTCCGCGCTGCGCGATGGCCATGCGCCCCCATGGCACCCACTCGAATGCCTCCTGGATCTCGCGGCACTTCTGGAGGTATGCATTGTTTGACCTCTGGCTGTCATCGCGTCGCCAACGCGCGGGATCACCAGGCCGACCAACTTGGCGCCGCGGCGGATGGCCCACGAGCAGAGATCACACTGGACATCCGCCAGGTTGAGCTTCTGAAGCGCGGTTTTGAAATAGAGCCACCACTGGCGAGGAGCATGGGTGAACCCATGCGTGGGCTCGAGGAGCTGCGAGACCTCGCCCTCGTTCACGCCGAACGCCTGGCGGACGTTCTTGGACGGGTCTGCCTAGACCTTTCTCTTCTCCTCGTCTGTCTCGGCCAGGGGGAAGGCGGCGGCAGCGGCCTGCTCGAGCTCCCGCTTGTGGCAAGCCCAAGCAGCAGGCGCCGCTGTCAGGAGTCGTAGGAGACATCGTCACTGATGACGAAGACGACGAGTCTTCCCTCGCGCGCAGGGCGTTGCCTTGGTCGCCCCCCTTACGGATGAGCACGAATCGGCAGCCAAGAGGACCTAGCAAAAGTAAGACCTGAAGGCGTGCTCGCTGACCGCGGGAAACCCCATTGCGATGCACTCGCCAGTCGCCTTGCGATCGTTTACGAGCGCGCGCTGCAGGCGCAGTCCCCGCCGGGGCTGCCTTGCTGCAAGTAGCGGGAGAAAGATTCCGGAGTCGCGAGATCGATTCTGAGCTTCTCGGCGGGGTGATCCGGTTCAGGTGGAGCGTGTGCTCGCTTCTGACCTCGAGCCGCCTCCCCCAAATCGATATAGGCATCCTGGGCAGCTTCGTCGATGGGGCGGCCCTGCTAGCGGAGCCCCAGGATGGGCTCGCCTTGCCAGCGAGCGCCCCGCGGGGGCGGGCCCCCTGGCCCGGCGGCCAGGCCGCCTCTACCATAGCTGCTTCAAGGAATGGTTCTTCAGGTAGTCCAGCTCGTTGTGGATTCCGGGCCTGGGTCTACCAGTCCAAACGGTTTCGGGGCCCTGCCAAGCCTGATGGCGCTTGAATCGCCGCGGCCCCAGCAGCTACTCCAGGTACGTTGCCGGCGGATACCCCTCGGGGAGGAGGGTTGTCATTTTCGCGCGGGGCCCAGGGCCCGAGTGCATTCCCCTCGAGGGTTCGCGGGCAGACTGGGCCACCGTCGCCCAGTCTGCCAGTCTGGCCTCGAGGGTTCGCAGTCTCCGGCAGGTGGTGGATCGCCCATGATGTCGATTGCCCGGGTGGCGCCCAGCCGTCGTTGCACCTCCCCAAACGTCCACGTGCTGAGCCAGGATCGTGAAGAGCGCGGTTAAACCACCGCCTCCTCGACGGGGGTAGCCGGCCGTAACTGCGTGGGCGCCGCTCGACGACGTCGCCCCGAACTCGCAGGCCCCCGGTGCAGAACCCGTCTGGGGCCGCGCCGCCGCCCGCGACCTAGCGTCGATCGCGGCTTGCCTTCGTTCCTCCAAGCTCCAGGTGGAAAAACACGGTCGACGAAGACAAGGTCGCCAGTCTCGTACTCCTTAGGGGATCTGAATATGGGGGGCCTCGGCTCTCTCGACTCGGTCGGGGCCCCCAGTCTGAATGCGCGCGAGCCGCGCCCGTCGTTTAATCTGAGCGCCGCGGCTGCGCGCGCGGCGGTTCACCTCGGCGCTGATATGGTCGGGTTGTTAGGTTTGGCCGGGGGGGGGGGGGGCTGTCGGGCCCGCGGGCGCCCAGCCGGCGCACCGCTGGAACGGGCTGAATCCGCCGATCCTGACGAGGTCGTTGCGTGCGACCGTCTGGAGCACAAGCATTTCGCCAGTCGAAGCGCCGGGTAAGACCATCCTGTCGACGACGTCGAGGGCCTCCCCGCAAGCCTCAATGACCCGCTCTACCTCGCCGATCTGCCAGCGGGCACCCGCTGCATGGGGCAGGCGCGAGGCGCCCTGGCTCTCGACCCATTCTTGGCCGCCGTCGGAAATCGCACTGCCCGCGGGGTCGTGCCGCGCGACCTTGGGCCGCCCCATCCAGGGAAGCCACTTCGTCGCAAAGGTGTGGCGAAAGTCTCCTGCTCGAGCTGGTCGTGTCTGGCCGGGATTGCCCTCCTCGCCAATCAGCCGGCGCGCGAGATGTCTGAGCCAGCGCCTGGGATAGCCAGGGCCATCGTCCGCGCATTCATACGGCGGCGGATCCACGAGACGGCGTCGCAGAGCACCTCGCGAACGTTCCGCGGTTGTTCCACCGAAGAAGCGCGTCGCCGATGTCGCGCGAGATCTGTCGAGCCAGATGTCTGAGAGTCGCGCGCAGATGACCGAGATTCGCACGCGCCAGCCTGACGTGCCTATCGAACTTCTCCCTGGGCTCTCTGGGAACAGCCGTGGTCATCCATGCCGTCCTACGGTTGAATGAGTTCGCGCGCCGTCTCCAGCCTCAGCTCATTGGGTGGGGGCTCGGCGGCAGCCGGGCAGCGGCATCGCACGGTCTCTTCGTCGAACACGTTCACGCTGGAATCCCGGGCCAGAGTCCCGGGAGCGCGGCGGCGCAGCATCCTGGGTCAGTGCCGAGATGCGTTGGTCCTCAGTCCGCCCTCGATCTCCTCGCGGTAGTGTCCCCGGCACTGAAGGTTGGAGAACAGCCCGGGGCCTTCCGTCGTTCGTCGGGAACTTCCAGCCCCTCCTCGCGAGCCCCCCTGTTTCTGGAGCCTGGAGTCCGCGGGCGGAGGGCGCGCCCTATGTACGGCAGGCGCTTGGCGCCCCCATCCAAGAGACGCATGAGGTTGTTGATCGGGGTCATGATGGAGATGAAG